CTGCAAGCAAACTTCTGGACACAACACATCAAAGTGGACAGCAGCCGCTTAAGTGGCTAATTTGGAGAATGGCAATCAGGGAACACAACAAACATTGCACCTACTGTGTATCATCGACCTTGACTTGAATGCCAACACACAAACACAAACACACAAAGACATGCTCAGAGGGAGAGAGAAAAACAAAGAGAGAGAGAGGGTGAGGAAAAGCAGACGCGCTGCATGGAGCCGTGAGGCATCACATTAGCACACACTGGCCTCCATTTTATCTCCTGTGGTCTTTGTCAGTGTTGCCTTTTTACCAGTTGGGCGCCGGCGGAGACTAGGGGAAATGTGTGTGATGTGTTGGATTTAGAAACACCCTGAGACTCTGACCTTTTGYTTGGCAAGACTGAAAAGTAAGGATGCTTTGTCATACCTGCTAATGAAGAGGCAAAGAAAGAAATACACCAACCTTCTTTATCATTTTTAAATTTTTACCACCAAAGTCAGGGTTTTTCTAGTATATTTCATTTTTTTTTTTTGCTTTGCAACCCAACAGTGAGCACTTATAGATCATATTTAACAGCAGTAAAATGTGAGCTGTTATGTGTATGTAGATAATTGTGAAAAGCTATTTAATTTCTATTTAGTTTAAAGACATGAGACAGCTGACAGATTAATTTGCCTATAACACTTCTTTTGTGAGTAGTAAAGTGTTTTTTTAACCTTTCGCACTACAGTGAGCTACTTTTTGCAGCTTGGAATTCACACAATGGGAAAGGTGAGTTTAAAAAGAGCTCTGATCCTATGTTTTTCACAGAAACACAGAAACATACGCTCAAAAAAAAAACACTCGCTCAGCACGGCAGCTAAGGAGGGGAGGGGGGTCGGGGTCAAACACATGGTATGGGGTGGGGTTCAGTGGAGTCGGTGACGTTCTAGGTTAGTACTCTGTGTTGGAACCTATCAAAGACCTCCAGAGTCYGAAATAAGTTGTTGTCAACCAAAAGCACAAATCACCAGAGTCAGTTCTCTGTCTCCACCCATCGCGGCCTTCAGACTGATCCGCCCACGGGTGATATGGGTAGGGATGGGGGAGTCAAGGCTTTTTTCTCATGTGTCATCCAGGGAGTTTTGATACATGCCGACTCAAGGTCAGCAGCTGCAGGGATCCAAAAGATAAACATAATTGTTTGGGGCAAGCAGCCTGATTCTTCTCTGCTTTAAGTCTTAAATGCATCTCTGTGATGGCAAAAATGCCTATGTTCCAAATTTCAGTACCTCCTCGCCTCTCTCCATCTGAAACTTCACCCAGGTGTGATCTTACTCTTTACAGGCACGCTGCTGAACTGTGGTTCTCATCAGAATCACGTCCAGTTTGCGACTTATATCCCCCAACATTTGAGTTTGTGCGTTTCCAGTGCGGGAGACTCCATCCGAGGTCCCTGACAGCTTTTCACAGGCCCTAATTGCTGTCAGGATAGCTTTCATTTTCCGATAAACCAGGACTCCTCCACAACCGATCAGCAGGAATCCAGTTATCATAAACCCAAATATATRCAGATCTTCCACGTCTTCAATGGAAAGSGGGGCCAAACAGATCAGGTTCCACCCCCAAGAGTCAGACACTCATCCGGCCGTCACCATTCCACTTGGACAGCTGCACTCCCCAGGCTCTAATCTCAGTGTGGAAAAAATAGTGTTGATTGCGTTCAGACACCAGTTGACCAAATCCATAATTCMTTTTGTTTTCGGATGATAGGTAGAAGAAAGACTTGAAAAAGCTGCAAAGCAGGGAAGGAGGGACCGGTTTGGGAGAGAGAGCAAAAAGCGTCCAACTCCACTGAAGGCCAAGCAGAAAAAAAAACTAGGTGAAACTGCATCTACTGAGCCTGAATACTAACTACTTCTCAGTTCAGTTATTTTTGGATTGAAAATATCTTTGAGGAAATGGATCTTTGGATGCCAAGGAGACTACCCTCTTTTTAAGCTTCACAAGGATGACACAGTTCTTAAAAATGGTTGGACTTCATTTTTGGAAGTAATCCACTGAAAAAAACATGATATAGAAATGCGAGCCACTTTACAGATGATAGCTTTCTGAACAAAAGGGTATTTAACTGTGGACTAATGTTAATTTCACTAAAAAAACAATGTAATTCCAACACTCTGAAGTACACAAACATGTTGCCATCTACCCAGGTAAGCTGAAAAACAACTCATGTTGTTTTGTTAAATGACACAGAATGAATGGGGTAGTGGGGAATTTGCTTCTCTTCATCAGAGCCTGAGACAAACCAACATTGTTTTGCAAGGGCAGGTAAACATGTATTCACACAGAGTCCTTTCAAAGCTCCATAGTTTGTGGATTCATTGTGTAGTTAGTTCATTTTTGAAGCTCAACCCAAACTTCAAACAACTCTGTAAAATTTAAAAYAGCTGATTTTCACGTGACAATCTTAAAAGAATCGTAGGGAGAAAACCTTCATTTTAGGAGGAAGGAAATGTAGATGTCAAACAGAAGCATAGTAGTCTTGGTCATATAAATTTGACTTTCTGTATTATTACATTTATTCAAGGACTGGAGTCCCTGATAAATATTTCAAGTTAATAATTAACTTGATGGATGATGAACTAAAGTAATGTCTCATGGTGGCTAAACAGCTGTTAGCACAACATTAACTTACTTTTACACACGTCGACCGGTTTGGCCCTTTTTTACCCCCCCCAAACCAAAATCTTCCACCTCCCTGACTGTCGTCAGGCTGAAGCCCGCCCACCATTTCTTTGTTTTCTGGACACTTTATCTGAGGTTTGCATTTATCTATTTCTCTCCTCCTCAGGTTTTATTTTGACCAACATGCATGATGCATCCTGCGCATCATGTTGAGCCAACCTGAATTGGTTTTGAGTTGCAAAAAAATTAATTGTAGTACATTGCTGAATCGGTTATTTTACCCACCCCTATGTTCCTTCATTCAGTGAATGCWGTTACCGAGCAGAACAGCTGATGAGATCTGAGCTACGGCTTGAMTGTGATGCATTCAAGTCCAGAGAAAACTCAGATGTTTGAGTGTTAACCACATTGGATACGTTACTGCGTAACTGGCAGAAGTGTGCACTTTACAAGTGCTTCTAGTTTCAAATTTATTCAATGTTTTGGTGAAATATAAGGCTTGAGAACAAAGGTTCTTTTTATAATGATAATGTAATGATAGTTTTTTTATTTTCAGAGTGCTTGAGCACCCCTAAAACAGGGCTAAAAGTGCCACTGGCAGCACATATGTGCAACATTAATGGAACCTCTGCAGAACTTCTGCGCCGCATGTTGACAAAATTGTGACTTCAGCAGCAGTCACACAGTGTTGCACAGCATTTACTTATGAAAAACCAAGAACATGAATGATGAGGCGGGTGTGGGGCGGCTATGGCAGAGTGTTTAGGGGAGTCGTCCTGGAACCGAAAGGTCACCGGTTCGATCCCTCGTCCAGCTGTCTCAGTTGTTGTGTTCTTGGGCAAGTCACTTCACCTCTAATGCCTCTGATGTATGTCTCACCAGCRTATGAATGTGATTGGCACTGATCAGTCTCCACAGATTTACATGTTAGCTCTGTAGWGACCTAATAGAGTGCTGAGTGAATGGGTAAATGAGGACACATATTGTAGTGTAAAGCTCCTTGAGTGTCCTGGATGGATAGAAAAGTACTATATAAGTGCAGTCCATTTAACATTTATGAGTTAGGTGTAATTTTACAGTAACTTACCAACATGTTAATATATGGGGGCATACATAGTCATACGAGGAAACAAGTGCAAAATTTTGAACATACTCAAATTATCAGTGCATTCGTAACTGTTGCCAATCCTTTGTTGTTTCAGGTCTGTTCCGGGTATGTTAAATATACTGTATGTCCACACGTTACATGAAAATTATTCATACATGGACATTTGTCAGAAACAAGCTGGGTAATTATGAAGCAGACAGATAACTTCTATCAGAATGTGTGGGCGTGTCCCTCGATATCCATCCATCATCATCACTCACAGCTAAGGGACAGATAAGTGACAGTAGAGGGGTACTTCAGRGGGCCAATCAGATTTCAGCTGTCGCCCCGCCCCTGAGCCCCYTTACCCCACTTTGCCACTGCATGCAGCACTGAGCACTGTGCCTGCCTGGAATTGCTTTACTCTTGGGAAATAAACATTATTAACAGTAAAATGTGAATTTTTCACCAGAATTAAAGTAATTCTGTTTTTGTTTTTTGTTTTGTTTTTTGCAACAACTCTGTTTTTTTTACTATCAAAGTGTCAGGTTGAAAAAGTTCATAATAAGCATCTGCAAATTGAAGTCTGACAGGATTACAAGGCTCTAAACAAAGTTCTGGTGATATGAGCTAACTTGTGTATATTTAAAACCTTACTGACATTGCTGTAAATCAATGCATTTATTTTTAAAATATGAAAAATAAATAGCTTTTTTAGCATATATTCTGTTGATTTTGTTTGCATAGTTTGCCTGTATAATATTTATTAATAAGTTAAACAAACTTTGCATATAAGCTTTGGATAGGCTCAGGTTAAAATAAGTTACACGTTTGCTTCATAATTGCTCCACTGGTTTCAGACATACAGTATGTCCATCTGTGAGTAACAACTGAATAATTTACATATGTGAACTGATACATAATGATACATAAATTCACCTGTAGCATACCTTCAACTTGTGTCTCATTTATCAGCAACACGTCGGCATACGTTGAAAAATTTGAGCGTGTCCAAAATTATTGTCTGGTCATCGTTGTGATACTATATTTAAAACTTACACCTAACTTAATGCACTTACACCAGCGTGTTGTACAAAATTTGCATAAGTTGGAATAATCTGTCTAAAATGTCATAGGGTGACAGGAATTTTAAACATTTTACWTATACTTAAAAAAGTTTACACAACAACCATTCTATTCAGTTATTTGTCCACATTTGTTCCTCTTCTTCCCTAAATTTGTTTTACTTTTCAGACAACCTGTGCAACGGGAAGTTCCACAAACACCTCCAAGACCTGTACGCCCCTCTGGTGGTGCGGTATGTGGACCTGATGGAGTCATCCATTGCTCAGTCCATTCACAGAGGTTTYGAAAGAGAATCCTGGGAACCTGTCAAGTAAGGGCAGCTTTTKTTCTTTATCTGTCACCTATAATTACCTTGTTTTTGGGGAGGAAAGACTAAAAAAAAATCTAGACATTCACAAGGAGTTCGAAAAGCTATTTTTAAAAATCAAAGAGTTCRTGTGCAGAAAAAAACAGATACACAACTCAGGAAAACAAGGAGGTTAAACCAGACAGGGTATGGAATTACTGTACGAAGCCAGACTGTAGGTGATGTAAAATCTTGGAGGCTAAATGAACTAAGGTTAATAAGAAGATTRGGGACAGATGGCGTTATGGTAATAGGGAACAGGTAAAGCTGGACAGAGGAGCAGTACAACTGGCACAAGAGAAACACAAAGGAAATGGACTAAACATAAAGATCTCAAACYACAGAAAATAAATATATCAAAAAAGGCATAAACCTAACAAACGCAGAAGCCTTTTATGGGTAAAAAGTCACACAAATATAGAAGTGAAACTCTGATTCCAACACTTAAGTTAGCTAGATCACTCCCCTTGTTATAATATGTGTAGCAGCCAAACTTGTGGCAAGGTTTTCAGGGATTATAGAATTAAAAATGAACACTCTTTGTCAACAGCATATGTTTTTTTCCATGGAGCAAATTTATCRACTTACAAAAAATGTAAACTGTTATGTATAATGTACACCTCTCAATATGTGGAGTTTTGGAAAGACTCAAAACCTTTTCCAGTTATTGGCCTGAAAATTGAAATCTRTAAAGAACCTAACCTTTCTAACAGTTTATTCAAGGACTAGAGTCCCTGTCAAATATTTCAAGTTAATAATTAACTTGATGGATGATGAACTAAAGTAATGTCTCATGGTGGTTAAACAGCTGTTAGCACAACATTAACTTACCTTTACACATGTCGACCGGTTTGGCCCTTTTTCCCCCTAAACCAAAATCTTCCACCTCCCTGACTGTCGTCAGGCTGAAGCCCGCCCACCGTTTCTTTGTTTTCTGGACACTTTATCTGAAGTTTGCATTTATCTATTTCTCTCCTCCTCAGGTTTTATTTTGACCAACATGCATGATGCATCCTGCGCTTCAAGTCAACATGAATTGATTTTGAGTTGCAAAAAAAAATTATTGCAGTACATTGCTGAATCGGTTATTTTACCCACCCCTATGTTCCTTCATTCAGTGAATGCTGTTACCGAGCAGAACAGCTGATGAGATCTGAGCTACGGCTTGACTGTGATGCATTCAAGTCCAGAGAAAACTCAGATGTTTGAGTGTTAACCACATTGGATAYGTTACTGYGTAACTGGCAGAAGTGTGCACTTTACAAGTGCTTCTAGTTTCAAATTTATTCAATGTTTTGGTGAAATATAAGGCTTGAGAACAAAGGTTCTTTTTATAATGATAATGTAATGATAGTTTTTTTTATTTTCAGGGTGCTGAGTTCAAGTTTTAGAGGTGCTTGAGCACCCCTAAAACAGGGCTAAAAGTGCCACTGGCAGCACATATGTGCAACATTAATGGACCCTCTGCAGAACTTCTGCGCCACATGTTGAGAAAATTGCGACTTCAGCAGCAGTCACACAGTGTTGCACAGCATTTACTTATGAAAAACCAAGAACATGAATGATGAGGCGGGTGTGGGGCAGCTGTGGCAGAGTGGTTAGGGGCGTCGTCCTGGAACCGGAAGGTTGCCGGTTTGATCCCCCATCCAGCTGTCTCAGTTGTTGTATCCTTGGGCAAGATACATACTTAACCCCAATTCCTCGGATGTGTCCCATCAGTGTATGAATGTGATTGGCACTGATTAGTCTCCATATTTGATTGTATATGTTAGCTTTGTAGAGACCTAATAGAGTGCTGTGTCAATGGATAAATGAGGACACAGATTGTAGTGTGAAGAGCTTTGAGTGTCCTGGATGGATAGAAAGGCACTACATAAGTACAATCCATTTACCATATAATAATTGAAAAAAATTCTACTGAAATCAATGGCATACTAATTCTTTACTGATGGATTAAGTGAAAAAAATTAATTGTAATTGGACAGCTTGGTGGTTTACACCTAAAGTCATGAGTATGAACCAAACACTCACCGGTAAGTTAATTGGAACCTGTGAAGGAAAGACTGTTTCTCTCCCATACATCAGTAGAAATGGGGAGTATTTTGTTGTACTGTAGAGTTTTGACTGCAGAGAAAACTGTGGCTTCTAAAAACAAATCCCAGTCATTCTGTTGATCATTGACCAACTTCTTTAGGGCACTACAATGCATTTAAAAAACAACAACAAAGCACTGAGGAAAAGCAATACAAAATATGTATTTATCAAAAATCTTCAAATAATAGTCTTTACGTTTGATGTTGTCATTTTGTGATTTCATCCAGACCATTTGTCTGGGGATGAAAAGTAGAAGTGACACTTCTCTCTATCCCAAGGAGTCAACACATTTTCTGGTTTACCTTTTGGGTTGTCAATAAAAATGATTGAAATTAAATGTGTATTAACATTCCAAAAATATAATGGGCTTTTTGCCTACTCACATCATTTACAAATTCTCTGCCCTGATCAGACAGAATACATTTTGGGCATCCATGCCTGTAGAATAATGAGCACAGGTGCCCTCCAACGTCTGATGCTGACTTTGTTTTAAGTTGAAAAGCTTCAACCTACTTTGACAGATAATCTGTGGCAGTCAGGATGTACTGATGACCTTCTGATGTTTTTGTCAATGGTCCCATCAGGTCAATGCCATCCAGCTCCCACTCCTCAAACACCTATCAATGATTATATAATGTCCCTCAATGCTTTAAGTACTATATGCACATTTTATGTACAAGAGGGCCTGGCTCTCAGTCTCCACTCTAATTCATCCCAAAGGTGTTCTATCGGGTTGAGGTCAGGACTGTGCTGGCCAGTCAAGTTCATCCACACTAGACTTTGCCATCCATGTCTTAATGAATGTCACTTTATGCACTGGTGCACAGTCAGGCCTTCTCATCCAACATTAGTATGTGACCTCACAAATGCGCTTCTGGAAGAATGGTCAAAAGTCCCCATAAACACATTCGTAAACCCTGTGGACAGCTTTCAGAACACTTGAAGCTGTTCTAGCTGCAAAGGGTGGACCTGCGTCTTATTGAACCCTATGGATCAGGAATGGAATACCACTTAAGCTCATATGTGAGTCAAGACAGGTGGGCCAATAATTTTGCCAATATAGTGCATGCATGCATGCATGCATACATACATACGTACAGTACATACATACATACATACACACACACACACACACACACACACACACACA